GTGATTATTTTAATGAATAAAATCCACTTTCTTTTGGTCTCCGATAATTCTTCAATGGCGAGATATTCGAATCTCGCAATTTTTTTTCCGCGTTCCGTTTCTTTAGTGAGTCACTGTAAATCTAGTTCTGATTGCATGATTAATAATAACTTTTATATAGATGCAGATTTATTCAAAACTTCGAGTTAATTAAAATCCGAGAACGATATATAGGTAGTAAAAATCTTGTGACATCGTGACTAAAAACGATCACGAACTTGCTGATCACTTTTGCCAAGAAAATTATACATATATTGCACGAAAAAATAATACATGATACATTGTACGTTTCTATAACCAAAAATTTTTATTAATAAAATATATGATAATAATACAGGATAAAATATACTATAAAACTAATTGTTATTGTGTAGTCTTTTTTATATAGTTACTAATGCATGATACAGCAAAGATAAATTAGTGATTATTAAATTATGCAAAAGTAATAAAGTTTTTACAATCCTTTTATCTGAAAATTGTATCAGGATTTTAGCAAATCAGAGATAATAATATTGATGTACATTAACCATATCTTGAACAAATAAATTTAAATATAATTCATTATCTGCAATTTGTATATTTACAATACCAAATTGATCTTTATCAGTTTAAGAATTTGGCATATCCAAAAAAGTTCATTATTACATTCTCTTTATAATTTAACATCATAATCAATCTTTTTTTGAGCAGTACAAATTAAGTGAAAATATTTAATGTATATAAGTTCAAAAATTGTTTTTTAGTATTTTGTCACAAATATAATATCTAAATGTCTTCTTATAAATCCATCCTCTTTTTTATTAGCACTGGCAACACTTTGTTTTTTTGATGTATTAATGAAAAAGGAATCACTAATAGAAAGATTTTTTAATGAAGCTCAAATTACTGATAATATAGTAATTGATTGATATATTCTCTCATTTAATATTTTGCAACATGTTGTAATGAGATATAACATATTGTAAAGAACTGTAAAATGCATAACTATATAATGAAGAGTTTCACCTCTCAAATAAAATCATCAATTGATTATTACAAAATCTAGTTAGTTAATAAACTTTTTCTTGTTTTATTGTTAATAAAATATTGTATATTAATTGATTTAATAAATAAATTCACACTACAGTCGACCCTCTATATAATCATCATGTATATAGTCACAACCTCCATAAAGTCACTCATTTTTGATAACTGAAAATTCTCTATAATTTTGCCCTCTCTAAGATCACATTTTATTTATAATCACAGTCACCAAATCTCTCATTCCACCTCTAGCTAAAAACCCTCGATACAGTCACAAAATCATATAATATGATTTTAAAAATCAAAAACTTTATGGAATATTCTTTGATTATCTCCTCTTCACGTTTTCGGTGAAACAAGAGATTGCATTTTACCATTTTCAGCTATTGAAATTGCAAGATCCCAATGAGTAAAATGAATGTCCAGGGCATTTTATAGTAGGTTACCTTTTTATCGTGATAATTTTTGAACATGTCTTAAAGCTTCACGTTCAAACATTCTTTCTCTGTGATGCTATCAGAACCAGCCTCTAAAAAAAAGTGTAGTCATCTTAGTGACGTGCAAAGAAAAGAAATTTCTCAGAAAAATCCTTCTGCTAAACATCATGAAATTACTGAAGAATTTTTTAACTGTTATCTGGCGTTAACACTTAACCACTCGACAATTACAAAAACCCTGGCCAAATAAAACCAATACTTACACCTTGAAATCACTATCTTCACAGAAAAAACCTATCATCATCGCTCTCCAAAATACCCGCTAGTTGAAACAACAATGAACTTGTGGGTTGACCAGATAAACGCTAATACAGGACTGGTTTTAACAGACGTATTACTCAAGGAAAAAGCACATACTTTCACAGAAGAACTTGGAATTGATAAAGAAGCTCAAAAATTTAGTAATGGCTGGCTCGAAAAATTTAAGAAACGCAATAACATACGAAAAATTATGCTTCATGGAGAAGCAAATAGCGTACTGCTTGCATTATTGCCTGAAGCACGCATAATACTTCAAGCTATAATTTCAGGTTATGATCTTGATAATATATATAATGTGGATGAAACAGGTCTTTTTTTCACACAATTCCAACACAAACATTGGGAAAGAAGAAAAAAACAGGAACTAAAATGTTAAGAATATTTTATTATACTAGAACTTTTTTAAGATTTAATCTAATACTATTTTAGAACAAATCTCGATTAACTATACTACTTGGCACTAATACAATAGGAAGACACAAACTTCATCCTCTGGTTATCAGCACTTCTAAGAAATCCTGATGCTTTGTTAATATTAATATCAACCACTTACCTGTTATATACAAAAATAACAGCAAGACATGAATGCGAAATGATATTTGGGAAGAATGACTACGTTTTCAAGATTCTATTTTTTGTGCTCAAAACAAGAAAATTCTCTTGCTTGTTGATAATGCACCTTCTCATACACCATTTCAATCACTCAATTCACATGAATCTGATGAGAATGAGACTCTGAATTGATTTTTAATAATGAAATTGATGAGTTGCAATCTACAAGTAGACGAAATCAAGATCATTCATCCTCTTACTGAAATCAAAATCAAAATCAAAATCGCTCTTTATTGAAACTTATCCATATTAAAATTCAATACCTTCCATCTAATACTACTGCACACATTCAACCAATGGATGTGGGAATTATCAAAAGCTTTAAAGCGAAATATAAATATCAATATTGTCATTATCTTCTTAGACAATTTGAAAACAATATTAATATTAAGAAGTAAGTTTTAATTATGTTGATTTAATTGTATTTAGCAATCTAACATATTTTTTTATTCAAGAAATAAACTTAATGTGAAGCAAGTTATTGATTTTATTGCTCACGCGTGAAATGAAGTAACCAATACTACAATCCAAAACTGTTGGAAAAAAACTGGCATTTTATTTGAAACTGACCAATCAGAAATTACGAATGTGGTACAACTTACTAAAGATGACATAGAAACAGATGATAATGCGATTCAAATAATCCTTTCCAATTTTACATCAAGTGATTATGAAGTAACAGATGAAGCTAAAGCATATTTACGTACCATTGATGAAATAGTTCCTACTGAAGAAATTCTTGATGATAATAACATTATTGCATTGATAAAACCTCAAGAAGAAAATGAAACGAATCAAGAATCAGATAATGAAATACCACCTTTAATAACGATAATGGAAGCCATTGAATCATTACAAAAGGTAATTAGATATAATGAGCAATTAGAAACTATAGATCCTTTCAATTTCGATACTATAAATTTATTGCACAAAAAACTTATTCAATGAGAGTGTAATTATGAAATATCAAAAAAACAAAATTTAATTACTTCATTTTTTGAATATAAGTAATAAAATTTTATTTTATATTATAAAATTTATATAGTCATCAAAATTTTCAATTTTCTATAATGGTAATTATATAAAAATTTTTCTATATTGCTACCGTTTCTAGTTCTTACATATGAGAATATTTAGAAATGGTTAACAGCGACTGTGTTCACGGCAGATT